GCGACCCGGTCCCGGATAAGTGGAGGAAAATGGATGGATGGATGGATATGCAAACTTTTATCACAACCACAGATCATTATTCAAAGCAGGCTCCGATATGCACACATGGCATGCAGGCACGAGCAACTTGCAGAAAAAAGCCCATATATGGAGGGTTTGCCATGGCAATTTAATTTGGTTCAAAAGGAAATGAAGTAACTACATGCATGTGCATCCACACACAAACAACTATTGTCTTTATCTTTTCCACTCTTGACAGTGAATCAAATGCAGACAAAGTAATTTCTTGGGCGATTATTTTTTTCAAAAATAAATAATTACTATAAATACATACATACACAGTAGATCAGCTTTGAATACTATATTAACAGCTACTTCCTTGTTCCTCCTCTATAAAAATAATATTTGAATAATTGGAGGGCTGAGCTGCTCCTACTTTACCTTTTACCATCTAATGATAACGCAACCTGATGGAGATGGCCAGTATGGCTCTTCCTGATCTGATGTTGAGTAGGATCGTGTACCAACAGCTGCTCTATGAGGATGACATAAGGACTAACCTTTGTTCCATCTGACACATCATCTTTTTTTTTAAAAGGACAGAGGAAGCTTATCTTGGAAACTCTGACAAAGAGGAAACAATGAACAACTATAATTAGAGCGCCAACATAGTGTAGACACACTTTTTTCTTCTTAACGTCAATAATTTTCCACCTAAACCAACACTAAGCCGTGACTACATGTACTTAATCACTTCAAATAAAACCTGTTGTCCTGTTTGTCACTGGCACCACTTCAGTAGCATAATATCAAAAGATGTCTCCAACAGCAGAGGAAATACTTATGACTTCCCAAAGCTCAAGATAACATGTTCATATTGCTTGTTTTATCCGATCAACACCCCACAGATATTTACTTTAGAGTTTAAGTACTGGAAAAGACTTTTAACAGCTCCTGAATGAGAGCAGAGACAAGTATGCAGTCATTTTTCGGTCTGTCGTTCTCGTAGATGGGATCTCTAGGTCCGAGTTAGCTACAGTCAACTAAGCTTATTCATCTTGAATTACCACAGTCAGTAAAGTGAGATTTAAATGATATAAACTTTTTAGCCAAACAAAACAAGAATGTATGCAAGTAAATACAGAGCGTACCTCCAAAAATAGCGCCCCATCCCAACATTCAACACGGCAGGACATACCTTCACATTTTCTATTGCCCTCATGAACAATGTGCATCACAGTCAATGCTGCTGACTGTGTTCAGCAATGGGCCAAATCAATGAGGAAAAAAAAAAACTACATTAATTAACCTAATGTTGTTTCTCATAACACCAGTATGAACCTGTCCCTTTAATCTCACCCAGTTTAAAGTCTCTCCTGCAACTTGTGCCTCGTAGTTTGACAACCAGTAGTTGAACCATTTAAGGAGCATTTATGATGGTGAATTCTGGCATCATTTTAACCAGGGTGTGCATTTTGAACACCCCTCTTAGCAATACTATTACTATAAATGTAGGCACCACCATCATCTACAGCCACAACAGAGTCCAATAGAACCATATGAAAAGACAAGTTCAGCGAAGGAACAGAGCTGACTGAGAGGTTGTTTAAGGTCACTGTTGGAGCGCACTAGTCACAGGTCACAACAACAAGATTCTTCAAAAGTGGGAAGTTTGAAAATAGATTTAACTCAAGTCCCAGCCTGTCACACAAAGTCACACAGCTTCCACAGGACCGCAGCTGCTGATTATGTCAAACACTGGAAAGAAATGAACAAAAATAACACAGAGCTGCCGTGAATGCAGCGGGGATGACTCCCACACAGTATTTGTCTGCCAGTATCTGGCCAAACCACCATTTATCTCCCTCATAAACAAAACGCCACACCATGGCACTAAATCACACAGAGAGCCTGAAAATGGCAGACATTTCTTGGCTCCAGCTATCATCTCGCTAGAGAGGTGACTGGATTGCCGGGAACACTGCGAGAAGTGACATGCTGATATCCACCTCTCCAGTTTATATACTGTACGGATATGGATGGATATCCATCTGTCTGCACTCGGACTCTTGGCAACAGCTGTAAATTATTCTAATGTATCCTAGCTATTCTTATTAGCTTGTTAATAACTTATTAGAAGAGTTAGATCTCCACAACTAACAGTGTTGTGAAAAAAATAACAGCCACAGAGAGGAGGAGCTGTTGATAACAGACGGTCCATTGTCTGTGTGTATGGGAGGCAGAGAGAGCGAGGTAAGGAGCAGCTGGGCAAATCATTGCACTGTGTGCAAATAAAACAGTGAAGGGAACTTGTTCTGTTGTTAATCAATCATAGATTCCGTCCATCAAACCTTGATGTTATCCACATCAATCACTAGCAAATATGTTATATTTATCTTTGCAAACAAACAAATACATTTGTTATTAATGGAGACAGGAAATATGACATGCAAGTAAACTACATTTCTTTGCTCTCCAACTATAATTAGTACACTATTGTCCAGCTGAAAACACGGGCTAATCTAATTATACACAAACTCTGTGATACCTCGTGTAGCGAGGTCAGACCCAGAGCATAATGCCACCCAAACACACTCTTAAGAATGAGCCCAAGGGCAGGGTTTCCTAGGATTGTGTGAGAGAAAAGGTTTCAACACACTGCTTGATGTTAATACTAAAAGTGAGAAAGAAAATGCACGAGGCTATTTCTGGAAAAACAAACAAGCTATCAGCACAGATGCTCCTCATTCCTTTTATAACAATCTATGTGACGATCTTGCAGTGCCATTAAAACACTCTTTGCTTACAGTGATAACAGGGGTAATTTCATCAATCTATTTTTCCACATTTAAGCAGGAGTGAAGGAAGGGGCAGGCAAACAGAGCGCAAGTGGGAGGCATCCGCACCAATTATTGGTGGTTATTGACCACTGGTGCTGATTGACAGCAGGAAATGTGGTTATTATGCTGATATAGGTCAAAGCTGCACCTGTTGGACTGCATTTGCAAAGCATTACATTTGAGAGGAGGAGGAGGAAGGGAAGATTGTTTATTCTGCCAGTATTTGCATCTGGGACACATGCCATCATGATGAACAGCAGGAAAAAAAAGATCAGACTCTGATGTCACAGTGTGCACCTATACCTCAGCATGTTCACTGCAGGACTGCAACTAATTCTTATTCTCACTGAATATTTTAATTAATTAATCAACTGACCTGTAATATGTCTGAATATAATAAAAACATTTCCATCACAGCTTCCCAAACCACAAGTTGACAGATCCAAATACAATCCAATCAACTGGCAGAACCCAACAGAAATCGGTCTGCCAAACCTTTATACATGTATTCACATTTCAGAACCTAGAATTTTGTTGCTTAAAAATGACTGGTTATCAGTGATAATGCATATTAATACAAGGTCAGAGAAAAAGACTAAATGGAGTGAAGAAGCTATTTTGCACTTAATAAGCTGCACACTGCACTTGGTGACAACCAGTGACAAATTAGGTCAGTAGTACTGAGTGCCACAGTTCAGTTTTTTTTTTTTAATGGCTTATTTTTACAGTGCCATTCATCCAATCACCACATTTGTTCTTAAAAAAAAAAAAAAGGGGGCCTGTAAATCAGTTCACTGGGCAACTACTTACCACAGTGAGGAGAGGAAAGGCATTTATAGAGACATGCAGTGACCACTGTTATGAGTTGTTCCAGCCGGGCTACTGAATTGATCAGATTGTAAAGGCGTACTCAATAAAGTGGTAACAGACTATATAAGCCCAATACCAGGCCTATATCATAGACTGTATCTAAAAATAATCACCATTTTCTGCCACTACACACAAGTGAAGCCAAAATATTGACAATACAACAGCCATTTTGCTTTTGTGATGCATTTTGCAACCAGATTTGTGCCAACAGGCCACCAATCAAAGCTGTGAAGCCATCTGAAATACACCCCTTCCACAACAGTAAAGCATGCTGGCTGACTTCCACACATTCCCACCAGTCAGGATGAGGTCTACTCTCCAAGATTCCAGTGAAGTCAGTGCTCTATTTCTCCTCTCTCACTTTCACACAGGAACACAAGCTTACAGCAGCCTCCAAGGTAAAGTAGGCCAAAATAAATCCAAGATATAGCATGTTCACACATACACAGACAGCTTTTACCTGCTGTTTCCTTAAGTCTCCTATTTCCTGTGCCTTGGCTCCTCGCTGGGGGTGCTGGCGTAGCTTCTAGGACGTATCATCTGATGGACAAGAGGACAAAACGATGTGATTGTTAGGGAAAGCTGCAAAACATAGCACACAGTTTCTTCAAGTGTGTTCACTTAACAGGCCTTTTTGTCAGACCCAGTCATTTTGTGTTGACGGTTGACATTCATATTTGAAAGTGACATGTGCTCCGCTCTGATTTGAACATATGTAAATCCATTCCTGGAGGAAATAACAGGCAGATTGTTTGATAATGAAAATAATATTTAGTTAAACCCCTAATTAGAGCATTTTTAATAAATGCTTCATCTCAAAAATTCAGCCACTGCTTGTACTACAAAATTTCAGCACTAGTCTTAAGATGTCCAGGGAAAAAAAAAGTCAGTTACCAGGTAATCCCTTCCATTACTTCTGACAGTGAAACTATAATTTGCTGTTACAGTACAAGTCCAGGACTCGGTCTCAAGTTCAGATTTTAAAGACTCGTGACTCTACTTGGACTAGAGCACTGACTCATTCGGTCTCAGAAGAGACAAGGACTGATTTACAATAAGATACTTCTATTAAAACCCATTCACCCACACCATCCTGCACCCCTCACACTTTCACTGAGGCATACACTTCACCATACTAGAAATTATTTGTATGTATCAAATTGCCGAGCAATATGGTGATGCAATACACTGTTAGAAAGTTTGGAATTTGAAATGGTAATTGTTGTGCAGGTGTGTTTAATGTAGACCCTGATGACTCTGACTTGGGGAACCGGGACTCGACTCAGACTCAACTCGAATGAGTCTTTTGCGACTCAGACTCAAACACTGGAGACTTGAGGTTTAGTGGCTCGGCTACCATTCACTGAAGTTATTTCTGAGGGATAATAGTACTGAGAAAACAATTTCCACTACCATGTACACAGTAGTGGTCAGTGACGTCAGCTTCAAGTGTTATGTGTGGTTTCTTACACAAAAGGAATTGGGCTAGTGCACATACAGTCATGGACAACAACACTGGCACCTCTACATTTCTGTCCGGTAACACACCGCTTGTCCCAGAAAATTATTGCAATCACAACTTCTTTGGTATTCTCACTATTTATTTATTATTTCTTTTGTTTGCATTGGAACAAAATACACAAACACACACAGACGAAAAAGCCAAATCTGATACATACCACACAGAACTCCAAAAATGGACTGGACAGAGAAGTACTGATACCTTTTCAAAAGCATGACTGTACATGAACAGAAAGAAAAATATTTTTATCTCTTTACAGACTCCCTCTAAATTGTTGCCACACTTGTCTTTGATATGACTTTCTCTCTCCCTAAACAACACACACACACACACACACACCCTTCCTCCCCTCCACCCATCCTCTGGTACAGGAATGCGAGGCATGCACTATCCTAAAATGACCGAGGTCTCATCAACAGCCAAGTCTCTCACTCACCTTGGAGCACTTCCATACACACAGCTTTTCTGCCAGTATGCCCTCAAATGTCTTACTCTCTTGATCCCAGTCCTGGCACTATAACACGATCTTCTTAGTGCACGTGAAAATGGCTTAACCCTTGGATCTACACATAAATGTAGTTCAGGATGCCAGACTACTAAAGACAAATGAGAAATATCTTCACTTTGGTGGATAATTTCTCTGAACTAAGTTTGAATTGGTTTATATAATAAACTGTCATGAATAAAAAATAACAGCTGCTTGGAAACATAGAAAATCAACGCAAAACCTTGTTATGCTCTGGAAAATGTTCAGAAATCATGTCCAGTAAAGTGATGCAGTCAAAACATGCAAAAAGAATGCACCAGTACACACATACAGTATCTCATACTCCCAAAACCAAATGTGGCCAGAACGGCCATGACACTTGACCATGCGTCATCACTGCCTCGCCATAAACAAAAGAGTACTGTCTGTCCATTTCTAAAAACAATACACACCCACTCATTAGCGCAGTCGGATGTTTATAACCCTCAACACACACACACACACACACACACACACAGATGAAGTTTACTGCCACCAAAATAAAGTATTTTTATATGACGTCTTTCAGTCAGTGGATTTCTCTGTGGTGCCTGTGTCTATCACTGGTCTTTACCCACTTCTTCCCTTAGTCTCTCTTTATTTATCTATCTGCTTCAATATCTATTTACAGCAGCTATTGTGGGGCTGCCCTTACGTGGGTGGAGTACCAGAGTGTCTGTGTGTACTTTCAAAGATCTCCTCAAATGCTGTAAATCAGTAACCTTCCAGCTGCCTGACTGAGCAAAGGTCTGTCTCAGTCTGAGGTATAGGCTAGCACAGCTGATCATCACTCAGGAGACAGACGCAAACAAAACACACACTGGCGAAATCCAAGACAAAACTGTCACACTGCAATTACAACCCACAAGGATGTAGCTGGCAGACATCAGCCATGCATCATATACTGCAACAGGAGGAAGTGAAAACATAAGTGTGAGAGAGTTAGAAAAACTCCTAACCTAATTCTTTATGCTCCCAGATTCCAGCCATAAAAATTACCTGGATGTTACACACTTCTGTGTTTGGGTCCATAGAGCATGCACACTAGTGTGATGCCCAACTCCAATCAAATCCAAGACTTCTGCCAGCCGAGCCTGTTGGCTCCCTGCACCCATGAATGGGATAAAATAAAAATATCCTACAATTCTTCCAAATGTTATTGAACCCAATGGATCAAATGTGGATATTTTTTAAAGTCATTTTGTGTAGTTTGTGACACTGTTTTATGCTCACTCCATTCCAATGACTGTCTATGGGGAAAATTGCTTTCTGGGCCCTTCCATCCCCGGCAATATCCCTGGGTGCACCAGGGAGATGGTGGACCTCTTGTCCACTAAGGTACAGTATCTGATGCCATTCAGTTCATGGTTCAGGAAATCTCGACATGGCTACTGGGACATCTGCTCTAGTTTATAACATCACTTCTTCTTCCAGCCAGAGCCATAAGTTCATTGATCTCCTGGAGCGATGTCATCGTCTTTGGAGATCCCACTTCTGACACCAGTGCAACATCGGCTGGAGAAGAGAAGGATCTGGACACCAAAGTGCCCTTCCCAGTGCTCTGGGAGCCGCTATTTTTTATTCACACACAGCAACACAGACTGAGCACAGCACGCACTCTAACAAGTCCTGTCAAGCCCAAACTATATACCTCCGACCTAGAGGGGAATTCTGGGAGACCCCACCAACAGTCTCTTCCCTTTGGCATTATGGGGACACCTGCCAGATGCTACTCTGCCCCAACATTACAATATGACTGGAAAAATAGACCTTTAGTCAACTGAAAGTCACAAAATGCAAAACGATGCAGATGCATTTTGAAATGTTTTAACTAATCATCTTGCAATGAATGCCACTTCAGTTCTACTTTCTGAGTATGAATGATCATATGCAGTGAAAAACAAAAAGACAACATACAAACGCTGGAAAAGGTTTTGCACAAACTCAACTGACTGACTGGCTTCTGTCCTGTATGATTTCACACAAGTCTCTTCTATAACTGTGCATGAACTTCTAATTGAAGCTGTGTGTGACCTTATACGCTATTTTCACCGTGTCCGCACTGCACTGGAGGGTGACACTGTTTGTCAAATGAGCTGCGTGGCATGTATGGGGGGGACGATCCGGACCTCTTTTACCTTGTTAGCATCAGCATTCACTACTATTCACTGTCAAATTTGCACCACAATTAATAGCCATAATGACAGGCTATGTATTTAGTACTGGATGTTAAACTGTGGTTCGTTTGTTTTTGATTTTTTTTTTTTAATCGATCGATCCAGTTGGTAGAATTGGGGCCAAAGTAGAGTAGGCTACGTTAGCAGCATGGCCAACCAAACCACAACAGAAACTCATGGGCTGGAAACATGAAAGAAGCCACTCATGCCAACTTGTCACAACGTGGACATATTGTACATGCCAACAACACTCCTCCTGCAACAAACACTTCAGCATGTTTACATGCATGACCAGTTTTCAGTTAGGTATGGTTATGTGGGTGGAGGAATGCTGGTTAGACAACAGCATGAACACCTCTCGCTGTGTATGTAACATGCATGTAGGGCTCTATTTATATCAAGATATCACAAGGCTCAACTTGTGCTCACAGCAGTGTACATGTGGGACAGAGTGTGCAGGTGTCATTAGCAGTTGCAGACAGGGACCTGCGCTCTGAGGAGGTGTTGCCATAGTCATCTAAAGCTGACGTTTTGCACTCTTAGATTGCAGAGTGACGTCTGGACCCCCTAGGGTGGCAGCACAGCCTGACACTTTCTTTACATCTTGGGCTGGAGTGATTACTGCTACCAAAACAACCACAGGTGTAATACCACAGAGATGCCCTTTTCATGTACTGCTTGTTAAATACAGTTTTTTACTTGAAGAACAATTTGAAAAATGAACAAATGAATAACTTTTTTCCTCTTTAAAGAGTATATTCATTAGCCAGAAGGATTTTTTTTTGTCTTCAAGTCCATCTTGGTCCAGATAACTAACATACTGGGATTTTCAGTGTTTGAATATGTTACACAGATTTGATTAAAGACTTTATTTAGAACATACTGTATGTTGTGTTTAAATTCTAAGATTCTAATCAGTGACTGCTGTATATACGAAAGTTGGTAAAAACCCTGTGTATCATATCATTGTGACATAACTTTTTAAATGTCTCTGGGTTACAAATGTTACAAAATGATTTTGCTGTGATTTTCTGCATTATGAAGCATAATGAAACAAAGTATACAATTAATGTCTGGTTTTGTTGAATACTATGCATTTGGTCTCCACAATTATACAGACCTGTCACATAGACTGATGTTTTCTTTTATTTCAACCAAATAATTTACAGTGATTCGAACATCTATGCATTCTATTGCTTATCATATGTTTAGTAATATGGTTGCCTTACAACTTTCCGTCTGTCTCTCTGACTTTGTGTCCATTGTCACAAAAACTAATTAACTCGGGGAACTTACCGACATTATCTGAGGTCTT